CATTAACTTTACCTTAACCATTTGAAAGGATTAACCAAGAAAGTCATCAGGACTTGGGGCTGTCTTTGTGAGAAGGCTTTTAATAATAAATTTAAGTCTTATAATAAACATAATCCTTTTCAAATTTTGTTTCTTCCTGAGTGATGTGATATTTTCAAAAAGTTGTAATTTTCATCTAAATTATCGAATCAAATTATTCTTTTTTTACATCTATAGAATCAGTAGTGATGTGCTTCATTTCTGATAGAGTTTTGTGTCCTCATCTTGCTATATCACACTCACTGCTTTATAAAACCCTACCTTAGAAGAGTACTCCTGGACAACGTAATGAATTTATAACACTTTAACAACAATTAAACCTTTCCCAAGTTTATGCTATTTCTATAATATTTTAATCCCAAATACATACTGAACTCCGTATTAGTCATTATTTTATACAATAAGTATTATTTTCTATTTTCCCACATATTTTTCCATTCTGATGTTTATCATTTCTTCTTTTATCACTGTACTTCCTTCTGGGATAATTCTCCCATTCTGTGAAGAACTCTGATTAGTATTTCCTTTGGTACAGATTTGCTGGTGATTAATTCCCAATTTTGGTTTATCTGAAAACGCTGCTCTTCTGCCCTCATTTTTGAGGTATATGTTCACTCTGTATAAAATTTTGGGTTGGCAGTTATTTTTTTCAGCACTGTAAAGATGCTTTTTCTATTGTCTTTCAGCTTCCATCCCGTGTTTAAAAGTCAAGCGTCAGTCTTATTGTCGCTTATTTGAAGATCATGTCTCTCCCCCACCCTCTGACTGTTGGTTTTGTTCTTTCTGATTTGGAGTTTCTAGCAGTTTGTGATGGACCTAAGTATGTTTCGCTTTGTATCTATCTTGTGTGTCTTATACCTTGTTGAATTAGTGCATTGGTGTCTTCTATTTTGGAAGATTCTTCCATGGTATCTTTTCAATACTACGTTGTTCCATTTTCTTTTTGCTCTATGACTATAATTACATGGATATTAGATTTTTTTCATATCGCCTCACAATTTTTTTCTGGAATATCTATTTTTTATGCTTGTTCAAAGTGAAGACTGTGTATTGACCTCTCTTCTAGTTTGCTAATCCTCGTCTGCTATGTTTAATCTGCAGTTAAATACAGCTAGTGAATTCTTGAGTCACTGTATCATTCATTTCTAGGATATCAGTTTATTTTTCAGATTACAGTTTTCTCTTGAAATTATATGTTTTTTTAATATATTTTTGAATGTGCAATTCAAATTGTTTCTCAGCTCACACCTGATACTGCTACTATTTTAATCACCTGTGGGTCTGCTGTATTGGTGTTTTCTCTCCTGGCTTTCAGTCACTTGGCCCTATATCCTGGGCTGTCTCTTAATTTTAGATTGAATGCTATACACTGTATGTTAAAATTATGGAAACTTTAGGTAATGTTATCTTTCTTTAAAGAACATTACCTTTTCTGGCAGTCATATAAAGTACAGGCACATAACTGGGATCTATACAGGTTCCCCGATTCTGGGTTCCGCCTCTAGTGTTTTGAGGACTTGTCTGTATTGAGTCTGCCTTTACTCCTAGAGTATAGTCCTTCAAGGTTGTCAATTCAAAGTCTGAGACATTTCCCAAGGTCATTCCTTTTGGCAGCCTAGTGAGCTTGTCACAAATTTTGAGGGTATCACTTATTCTTGGCCTCTATGCCCCATTATTAGTCTAAAATATACACAAGGAAAGAAAACAATAACAAACATGGGTTCACCTCAATGTATTATTCCTGCTGTCTCCCAGTTTGCTTCCTGAAATTATGCTGCTTCGTGTTGGGGGTTGGGTGGGTGTTGAGCTGTTTCTTGTCCATTCACATTGTTCTCAGGTCAGTCTGGCATGAACTATTCTTTCATAAACAGTAGTAGAATGGCTCCAAGTTTATTTGATACCATCATTTTGATTCTATTTTTGAAATATTTTGCCTTCTAAGCTAAAACTTCCACCCCCACAATGTTCTTTTTCTGAACTCTGAATTCAGACATCCTTCATAAAGTGTAGCCTTTTCTGAATGTTGCCTCTGAATTATAACTTACTATTCATTCAGCTCTGTCAACATTTTCTTAAATTTTCCAGTGGGAATACACTCCACTTGTCCTCCAGAGACCACTATAGCTCTTTCTTTTTGGTTCAACATTTTTGTACTGAATAATGAAGACATTCATCACGATGAACCCTTCCAGGAAACACATGCGCACACATACACTCCCCCACAATTACTCTACTCCCTGTACAGAAAAATTCCCAAGAAGACCTACCCATGACTACTGTCTTTGATTTCTCTTTTCTTTTCTCCTGAACCCACTGCAAGTCTTGTCCATTCACCTATCAGATCTTGTCACGGCCACCAAATTAGCCCAATTCTTTGACCTTATCTCAACTGACTAATCAACATTCGATTACTTGAGTCCCTATCACTTCCTTTAAATACTCCTTCCACCCCTCCACACACACTTTACTTTGAGGATGCCATATTCTCCTGACTCTTATTTCCTTTCACCAGTCATTCTTTCTCAGTCTGCTTTACTGGTTTTCCTTCAAGTCCCAGGCCTTCAGATGTTAAAAGGCACAAGGCTCAGAACTCCCTTTTCCTCCATTTCTCTACACTCATTTTCTTGGTTACCTCGTCCATTTCAGTTCTTAAATACAATCGACATGCTGGCAACCCCCTAATTTATACCTCCAGTCTCCATCTCCCCTCCACAACCAAGTGTGGATATCCAAATACCTCAACATCTCCACTTGGGCATCTAATTGGCATCTCACATAACATGCCTCTCACGCTGCCAAACGTGTTCCCCTGGCAGTCTTTCCAATTTCAATGAATGTCAACACCGTCCATCCAAGTGCAAAGCCAAAAGCCTTGGAGGCGTTGTTGATTCTTTTTATGGGCACACGGCACCTGCCATCCAAAAGCAAATCTTTTTGGCTCAAATTTCAAACACATCCAAAGTCCTGGTATTCTCATCAGCCTTACCTCTATCATCTGAGTGAAACACGATCATCTCTTGTCAATTATATCATTTTATCCCCAAAACTCAACTGCTCCAGTGGCTTATTTCGGACTACTTAAAATTTCCCATAGTCCAGAAAGTATCTCAATCCCTCAGCCTCTATTACCTCAATGAGCTCCCATCATTCACTCCCTTGCTAATTCCATCCCATGTACTGACCTCTCTGCTGCTCTTCAAATGTTCCAGGTGTGCTCTTGGTTCAGGCACATACGTTTTTCACTCTGTCTACAATTCTTTCTCCCCAGATAGTTCCATGGCTTCTTTTCTCATCTTTGGGCTTTGCTCAAATATCACCCCTGCAACACAGCCGTCCCCAGCCGCTCCATGGAAACTTGCAGCCCCTCCCACTCTGTCACCTCCCCTCGCTTTGTTTCCTCATAGCACTTACCGCTAACTGACCAGTAACATGTTTTTATTTAGTTGTTTATAGTCTGTGTCCTCCATGAGACTCTAAGCTCTTTTAGGGCAAAGACCGTCTTGCTCGATACAATGCTTAGAACAAAATTTTATGCCAAGAAAGTGTTCAATAAGTGTCTGATGAAATCAAATCCACGATGATCACCACACAGGGGTGTAATCTCCTGAAACAAACGTTATGGTGGAGTATGCATACGTTATGTAAAGTCTTTGCAAATATATATGGACATATACTTTGAATTCACTGGGGGAAGTCTGCTATGTAGTTAGAAATAATAAATACCTGTGTATTAGAAACGGCAGACTAGAGCGATATTTGCACAAATTATACAAAAATTGGGCATCTAAAAATACTTTTATAAATGTAACACATTTTTGAAAACTCTTTTAACACTTTTATATTTTATTAGAAATTAAAGAAATTGAAAATCCTGCACGATGATCTGTAGTTACAAGAAAATAAAAAAAAAATACCCAAATGATGTATAATATAAAAATGTACTTCGCAATTGGTATAGAAATTCCATTCTAGTTCAGAATACGACCAATGTGGATACTTCCTTTTATATTAAATTCCCAAAATCTAGCAGTTTTCTATGGTATTTTACATTTTTTTAAGATTATTTTAAAATTCCTTCATTCCTTCTTTGGTTTTGGATAAACTAACAAACATTTTGATTAATATAAGTCAGTAATCTGAATTTAAAAATCAATCTCAGAAGTAGTTCATTTTTTTCAATTTTTAATAGATTAATTCTAAAGTAAGACTCATTTATTAGATTATTATAAAAAACACTGCCCTAATTTTTACCTAATTAGCTTAAAAAGCACCATCCTTGATATAAGAATTATTTACTAATCTCTATATCTAATTTAATGTGTAACTAAAACACTAATTTTAACATAGGTGTAAAAATCAGTGCAATGAGAAAGGTCATTTTTAAAATCAATGACAGGGCCAATCTCTATGTAAACTCTAAAATGGTACTTTTTCTTCCAATTTAAGTGTTTAGAAGAGTCAAGATCACTGGAACTGGTTCTATTTTAAAAAATATTTTGTTTTTTACCAATATATATAAATAATAGAATCTTATGTGCAAACCTGTGAAGTCAAACAAGGTAAAGCTACCATAAAATAACACTTTGTCTTGGATACCTAGCTTAATGTTAGTTTAGGTTGAATATCAGCTGTTTCTCCTACTAAGAATTTTAAGCTCATAAAAAAGAACAAGATTATGTCCTTTGTAGAGACACAGATGGAGCTGGAAGTCATTATCCTTAGCAAACTAATGCAGAAACAGAAAAGCGAATACCGTATGTTCTTGCTTATGGGAGCTAAATGATGAGAGCACATGGACTCCGAGGTGAACGACACACACTGGGGCCTATTGGAGGGTGGGAGGAGGGAGGAGGAAGGAGGGAGGAGGGAGGGGATCAGGAAAAATAACTAATTGGTGATAGGCTTAATACCTGGGTGATGAAACAATCTGTACAACAAAGCCCCATGACACACCTGCACATGTACCCTACACTTAAGTAAAACAAACAAACAAACAAACAAACAAAAAGGAGTTTGAACTGAATAGGGAAGGAGTTGGATGGTTCCTGGAAATTGATATGAAATACCCTGAATGATTCTGAAAGAACAAGTGTGCAGGGAGCTTTGAGCAGTAATAATGCACCACAGAGCAGTTAACCAGCAGCCCCATGCACAAGGGCTCCAGACTGCTCACCTACCTAACTATTCTTCAAGTGTGAGGGCTGCTGAATTAAGACAGACATTCGTTCTTAAAAGTGTCTATTGCTAATGTTTAGGAATCATGCAGAACATTCTCCAAAATGCTTTGGTTTGTTTCACGCAGGAAACTAAGCATTAGCAACCTTCCCCGGTTGCATGGAGCTGCCCCCATGTTAAAGAGTCATGGATGTGGTGGTGGCTGTTGCTACTGCTGCCTATGGTGTCTCAGTCAAAGAGAAATTAACAAGCAGAGGCAAGGCTCTAGGGTCATTTCTGTTTTGTCACTCTGTGATAAAGGACAATATTAATTTTAGTCTCAACACATCTTTTAAACTCCAGACATCTACAAGTAGGCAATGATCCCTTCTCCTTCCAGCCAGAAATAATCTGAAAATAATTTATTACGCATTTATAGGATATATATACTTGTGTGTGTATACAGTTTATAATTCTGTTCACAAATATGCTCATATATATAACCTTATACATATAAAGTTACAGTTTGGATTAATAATCATTAGGCTAATAAAATGCAATTATCTGAGAGAAAAGAAGAAATGAGCTGATTTGAGATCTGAGAATATAAAAACTGAGTGTAAGGACTTAAATCACAATCAAGAAAAGCAGTGGGGAGAGGACAAGAGAGAGAAAGGCCCGGAGCCTGGCCTCGACCGATTCCCCTTCCCACGGTCTGCTCTCCTACAGTCACGTCACATGGAGGTACACGCTCTGAAGAAAAGCCGAGCAGAGCAGGAGGACAGAGCATGAAGAGACGAGGGCTCTGGGACGGCATCACTGAGAGGGGGTGACTGAGCAAAGGCCAGCTCGCGATGGCACATGGGGGGTGCAAGGCTCCCCTCCCACGGGGGAGCCTCCACTGTAAACACCTGCCAGAGCTTTTAATTACCTTTACATTCAACCCTGTGGGGTGCTTCATGTGAACTGTCTGAATTTGAAGATGAAAACAAAAGAAAATTAGTTTGGGAGATTTAGCCACTGACATTTCTCAAAGAGATTCATGACGGAAGCACTTTTACAAATGCATGAGCAAGTCACAAGACTAGGACCATGTTATTCAGACCGGCATATTGTCTCAAATGCTAGTATCTGTTACTGTCTAGGATTTTGATGGAATTATAATCGAACGAGACTAGAAAATACCTCAGGGTACAAAGTTGCAAATGGCATATTCCTAGATACCATATTCTTATACATAATTAGCGTGTGGGGACACGCACACCCTAATTATGTTTGTGTATCATTGATAAAACGATGGGTAAACACATAGGAAGGTCTTCTGAGCAAAGCCTACGGAACCTTGGAGATGCTTCCAGTAAAACAGCTTGGTGAGTTTGACTTTCTCTCTCTTTACCAGGGACTTACTTGTTGGCATTTCTCTTTGTCTGACATCTCACGCGGCCAGACGCACAGCTAAAGATAATACGTGTTCTTCCACCTTTCAAGTGAAGAGTGGTGTGCTGAGCCACGAGTGCTCCGATGGTTCTGGTGAAACGGTTTCAAGATATCACTTGGAATCTCTTCCTTAAGGTCAGAGTTGTCCTCTGGAAAGATCTAGGCACATGCTGTGAACCTGGAAACGCCAAACGAAAGGGAATGCTCATGAAAATGTGATCATGCAACCACTCAGAAAGCTTGTTTTGTGCATTCCATGCAAATACTTTTTTAAACAAATTTTTACGTCACTTTCGTATAAATTAGGAAAGAGTCATATGCAAAAACTGCCAATGAGGGTCTTGAGAAAAGGGAAGGCTGCTCCTACAGAACCCAGCCTGAGTGCTGCTCATCTTCCCCAGCTGGTGGACCTGCCAGAAGGCGGGTCCTGGCCCCCGAGGCTGAGGGAGCCCTACTTCCTGGCAGCCCTACTGCTTCCCAGGGGCAGGGGCGACACCAGCTGCTTTAAGAGACCCTTCCCACTCTCTGGGACACGGCTTTGGTTCCTTCATTCTTTTTTTTTTTTTTCTATCACAGAAGAAATAACGTTTATTAAGTAAGTAGCTCCCAGCGCTTTCTGACCTGGACGCAAAGGTAGCAGAAGGCCTCCTGCCTGTTGGCCAGAGAAAAAGAAAATAAACCCTCGGAAAGATGGACATCTGTCTTCTGGACCCTCCATCACTTCTGTAGATACAGAAAAGGCCTCTGACCATCAACACTAGCGGTCTCGGAGTTATTGGTAAGAGTGCCTCCTCTGAAGCCCTGTGTCCAGCCCTGAATCTGGGAGCCAGGCCCTGAGGGCGGATTCGGGGTTACCTGCGGAAGGGTGTCGGGAAGGAAGGGAGGAAGGCAGGAGTGTGGGGATTGGAGGAGGAGGAGGGAGGAGTGTGGGGAGTGAAGGAGGAGGAGGGAGGAGTGTGGGGATTGGAGGAGGAGGAGGGAGGAGTGTGGGACTGAAGGAGGAGGAGGGAGGAGTGTGGGAGTGAAGGAGGAGGAGGGAGGAGTGTGGGGAGTGAAGGAGGAGTAGGGAGGAGTGTGGGGAGTGAAGGAGGAGGAGGGAGGAGTGTGGGACTGAAGGAGGAGGAGGGAGGAGTGTGGGAGTGAAGGAGGAGGAGGGAGGAGTGTGGGGATTGGAGGAGGAGGAGGGACGAATGTGGGGAGTGAAGGAGGAGGAGGGAGGAGTGTGGGAGTGAAGGAGGAGGAGGGAGGAGTGTGGGAGTGAAGGAGGAGGAGGGAGGAGTGTGGGACTGAAGGAGGAGGAGGGAGGAGTATGGGACTGAAGGAGGAGGAGGGAGGAGTGTGGGAGTGAAGGAGGAGGAGGGAGGAGTGTGGGGATTGGAGGAGGAGGAGGGAGGAGTGTGGGACTGAAGGAGGAGGAGGGAGGAGTGTGGGAGTGAAGGAGGAGGAGGGAGGAGTGTGGGGAGTGAAGGAGGAGGAGGGAGGAGTGTGGGACTGAAGGAGGAGGAGGGAGGAGTGTGGGAGTGAAGGAGGAGGAGGGAGGAGTGTGGGGATTGGAGGAGGAGGAGGGAGGAGTGTGGGACTGAAGGAGGAGGAGGGAGGAGTGTGGGGAGTGAAGGAGGAGGAGGGAGGAGTGTGGGACTGAAGGAGGAGGAGGGAGGAGTGTGGGGAGTGAAGGAGGAGGAGGGAGGAGTGTGGGGAGTGAAGGAGGAGGAGGGAGGAGTGTGGGAGTGAAGGAGGAGGAGGGAGGAGTGTGGGACTGAAGGAGGAGGAGGGAGGAGTGTGGGACTGAAGGAGGAGGAGGGAGGAGTGTGGGACTGAAGGAGGAGGAGGGAGGAGTGTGGGGAGTGAAGGAGGAGGAGGGAGGAGTGTGGGACTGAAGGAGGAGGAGGGAGGAGTGTGGGACTGAAGGAGGAGGAGGGAGGAGTGTGGGACTGAAGGAGGAGGAGGGAGGAGTGTGGGACTGAAGGAGGAGGAGGGAGGAGTGTGGGGAGTGAAGGAGGAGGAGGGAGGAGTGTGGGGAGTGAAGGAGGAGGAGGGAGGAGTGTGGGACTGAAGGAGGAGGAGGGAGGAGTGTGGGAGTGAAGGAGGAGGAGGGAGGAGTGTGGGAGTGAAGGAGGAGGAGGGAGGAGTGTGGGACTGAAGGAGGAGGAGGGAGGAATGTGGGGAGTGAAGGAGGAGGAGGGAGGAGTGTGGGACTGAAGGAGGAGGAGGGAGGAGTGTGGGACTGAAGGAGGAGGAGGGAGGAGTGTGGGACTGAAGGAGGAGGAGGGAGGAGTGTGGGACTGAAGGAGGAGGAGGGAGGAGTGTGGGACTGAAGGAGGAGGAGGGAGGAGTGTGGGAGTGAAGGAGGAGGAGGGAGGAGTGTGGGGAGTGAAGGAGGAGGAGGGAGGAGTGTGGGGAGTGAAGGAGGAGGAGGAGGAGTGTGGGGAGTGAAGGAGGAGGAGGGAGGAGTGTGGGAGTGAAGCAGGAGGAGGGAGGAGTGTGGGGAGTGAAGGAGGAGGAGGGAGGAGTGTGGGAGTGAAGCAGGAGGAGGGAGGAGTGTGGGGAGTGAAGGAGGAGGAGGGAGGAGTGTGGGGAGTGAAGGAGGAGGAGGGAGGAGTGTGGGACTGAAGGAGGAGGAGGGAGGAGTGTGGGACTGAAGGAGGAGGAGGGAGGAGTGTGGGGAGTGAAGGAGGAGGAGGGAGGAGTGTGGGACTGAAGGAGGAGGAGGGAGGAGTGTGGGACTGAAGGAGGAGGAGGGAGGAGTGTGGGACTGAAGGAGGAGGAGGGAGGAGTGTGGGACTGAAGGAGGAGGAGGGAGGAGTGTGGGACTGAAGGAGGAGGAGGGAGGAGTGTGGGACTGAAGGAGGAGGAGGGAGGAGTGTGGGACTGAAGGAGGAGGAGGGAGGAGTGTGGGAGTGAAGGAGGAGGAGGGAGGAGTGTGGGGAGTGAAGGAGGAGGAGGGAGGAGTGTGGGAGTGAAGCAGGAGGAGGGAGGAGTGTGGGGAGTGAAGGAGGAGGAGGGAGGAGTGTGGGAGTGAAGCAGGAGGAGGGAGGAGTGTGGGGAGTGAAGGAGGAGGAGGGAGGAGTGTGGGGAGTGAAGGAGGAGGAGGGAGGAGTGTGGGACTGAAGGAGGAGGAGGGAGGAGTGTGGGACTGAAGGAGGAGGAGGGAGGAGTGTGGGGAGTGAAGGAGGAGGAGGGAGGAGTGTGGGAGTGAAGGAGGAGGAGGGAGGAGTGTGGGACTGAAGGAGGAGGAGGGAGGAGTGTGGGACTGAAGGAGGAGGAGGGAGGAGTGTGTGGATTGAAGGAGGAGGGAGGAGTGTGGGGACTGAAGGAGGAAGGAGGAGTGTGTGGATTGAAGGAGGAGGGAGGATTTGGGGGAGTGAAGGAGGGAGGAGTGTGTGGATTGGAGGAGGAGGCAGGAGTGTGGGTGTGAATGATGGAAGGCAGGGTGGTACACTGTCTGGAGCCAACATGCTGTGTGGGATCAGGTGCTTTCAAGGCTTTGCTTTTGGGTGGGAATGTCCCCTGCCCAGTTGTGCCACTGAAAAGGACCGCAGAAAGGTGTAGTTCTTAGAATGACTGATCAGAATGATTCAGAAATGCCCTTACGAGGATCTTGTTTATGGTAAGCTCCATGAAGACTTAGTTAGAGGAAAATTGAAACAGTTTCGTTCAGTCCTCAGGGTTCAGCCTGACTTTGAAATTAGTGCAGAAGCTTCTAGACTTTGATTTTGAAGACAGCCGGTGGATGAACAGAGGAAACATCAAGGAACACAGGTCCCTCCGTGAAGGGTTTAAGTTGTGATGAAAGGCCAGACAGTGGCAGGAGACCCGGTGTTCAGCGGGGAAGTTTCCACTTTGGCGGGTGAAAGGGCCTCCTTTTCCCTGAGGTTTTCTACCCTCGTCGGGCGCCCTGCCTGCTCTGCGGGCTTAGAGCTCACCAGGCTGCTCACTGCTGGTCCCTGAGTGCATTGGCTTGGCCAGTCCTCTCCAGCAGCACAAGCCTGGCCGGTTCTAGGCAGGATTGGCCCGGAACAGAGTCACCATGAACCTGATCTTGAAGGCACAGTTTTGTTTTGTTTTTTAAATGAGGCAGAGCTGACCTTAAACAGGCTCATGGGTGATCAGGATGGGTCCCTGGACACGTTGAACCTTGTTATGCACGAGGCACAGCGTTACATGCTCTGTGTTTTATTCCATCCCTTCAGGAGCCCATGAGGGAGGTATTATCCCCATTTTACAGATGGGGAAGCTGGGGCCTGTAGGGAACGCCTGGTCCCGTAGCAGCCAGCAGCAGAGCTAGGACTTCTGTGCCAAGGCCTGTGTCTCTCACCACCACCAGGCATGGCCTTCTCGGGAATGCGCAGGCTGGCACCTACAGTCCTGGGCACCTGTGCCCTCCCTTCCCAGCTGCACAGGCCCTGTGGAGCCAGGCGGAGCTCCAGGGGGTCTCCTGTGGCGAGTTTTCCTGTGCACAGTGTAGAAGGGAGGAGAAGCCAGCGTGATTCTGAGAGAGCGTGGACATCCCCTTCACACTGAGCTTTGCAGCATTAAAAAATGGTTAAGGAGGGGAAATATTTCAAACCAAAGAACTCAGTGTTAGCCTGTCATTACAGATGCAGAATGTCTTGGAGCTGGGCGTTTGGGCGGCTGTGTTCTCCCTGCTAATAGCTCTTTAGTCTTGGGTCAGTATTTAAGAGGCAGTGACCCACCGATGACAGGTGTGGACTGTTCCCTGGGTCTTGCACGAGTTAAGTGGCTATATGTGACCCCATGTGTTAATGGACCTCCTGTAGACGCTCCCGGGGTCACTGCAGTCCCCACACACTGGCTCTACCCACCTCTCCTCTTCCAGAAAGCAGTGAGTGACATTCCAAAGGGGTCACCATGAATCCACTCTGGTTTCTAATTCATTCCTGAATGTCCTAGTAGACCGTGGTGCGCTGACTAAGCTGGTGGCCAGAGGCGGCTCCCTGTGTGAGCGGCGTGGTGGGCTCACCTTGACAGAGTGCTTAGAGGAGAGAAGTGGCTTTTCGTTTTTGAAGGGCAAGACTTAGGTCCTCCTGATCTGCGTGTGCAGGTGATTTGCAGCCTCACTTTGAGCCTGGGACATCTGCATTGGGCACGTGCCATGGCGCACCTTCATCAGAGCTTGCGCCTTTGAGCCGCGTTCCCTCTAGGTGGTGAGATGAGGGGGCCTTGGTTGTATTTTCCTTGGTGGATTTTTGTGTTTCGCAAGTTGTCAATTTTGATAATGTATTATTTTTATAATTGCAGAAAAAACAAATAGCTTATTTTAAAGCAAAAAGAAAAGAAAAAAAGTTACTGATAAGAGAATACACTGACCTGGCATTTGGTGAATGATTTAACAGTGCAGATTTTAAAGAAGTTCAGAACCCAATTCCCTGTCCAAACCTCCACTTTCATGTGCCTGAACTATCTACTGGACACCTCCACTTGGCATGCTGCAGTCAGCACCCCCAAAAGTGACCGTGTCAGAATTCCCCATTCCCTCTCAGCACCGCCTGCCTCTGGCCATCCGCAGACACGTCCGTCAGCCCTCGCCCCCTTCTCTCTCATCCCTTGGGATGGCCATCTTCTGCAAGAAGCCTCTGTGCCCCCCAGCCACCGGACAGGGGAGCCAGAAGGTCCTGCTCGCTCTCTCACAGCCTTTTCCAGCTTCCCTGCCAGGCTCAATGTTCCTTGAGGCACAGACAGAAACACCCCTGGTGCTTGAATCCGTCTTTAGCACGGACTTTGGCACTGAGTGAGCACCTGATACACCGTCGATGATTAATCAGCTAACTTGGGCACCTACCTTCCCCCAAGCATCTACAATTGTGTTAAAAGTAACACCTGGGCTGGGCACGGTGGCTCATGCCTGTAATCCCAGCACTTTGGGAGGCCGAGGTGGGTGAATTATCTGAGGTCAGGTTTGAGACCAGCCTGGCCAATATGGTGAAACCCCATCTCTACTAAAAATAACAAAAATTAGCCAGGTGGGGCGGTGCGCACCTGTAATCCCAGCTACTCAGGAGGTTGAGGCGGGAGAATGGCTTGAACCCAAGAAGTGGAGGTTGCAGTGAGCTGAGATTGCACCACTGCCCTCCAGCCTGGGCATTGCAGTGAGAGTCCAACAACAACAACAACAACAAAAAAAAAAAAAAAAAAAAAAAAAAGCAACACCCGATCATGTAGCATGACTGCCTTTTAGACCATGAGCCGTTGCCATGAGAACAGCCGCTAATACTGCTGAAGCACATACAGCAGCAGAAAGGCAACAGAAAGGCACAGCAGCCCAGAGCTGTTAGCCCAGGAGCAAAATCTGAAAGAGCTGAAGAATCCCTGACGTCGCTGTACTACAGGGCTACAGAAGACGCTGCTGTGAACAGTGACGGATCTGTGTTACACAATGCTTACCTTCTACACAGTTCACTTTTACAATTAGAATAAGTTTAAGATTCCCTGGAAAACAATAAATTCTCCCTGACATTTCAGATTATCTATAATAGGAACGATCATAAGTCATAATCTTTGAGCAATATATGCCTGGCATCTAGCTAGGTCCTTGTCACAGATTTCCAGTCGTTAGTTTATCTACCCAGCTTGTTATAAAAGAGGAAGCTGAGGCCCAGAGAGATTGGGACATTCCTAGGGCTGCACAGCCAGTAGCAGAACGAGGGTGGAAATCCCACCGCAGACTCCAGGGCAGCACACCTCCGGATGGGGCCCCACTGCCGCCCTGAAAAAAGTGTTGGTAACTGGAAGTGGACACGCCACCGGCCGGTATTCAAACTAGAACTTTATCCTGCAAACAACATACTGGGCTGGGATGTATTTACCTGTAAAACCCTACGTTATAAAGTAATTAGCAAATTTCTGTTAAATTTCTCAAGCATTTTTATCATTCGATTTTCAAAGAGAATCTGAGATTAGAGTTTCATTTAGAAACAGAGCATGAAAACTCTGTAGCAAACAGAGGTACTGACTGCTCCTGAGACAGCACTTTTTTTCAGAGTGAGGCCCCAGTTCATTGAGAGCATGTGGGCATTTCCCCCTTGCTGACCTAAGGGCAGGTAAGGAAGGATGTGTCTGTGCAGGTGTGCTCTGCGATTGATGTTTCTGAGGTCGGGCTTGCTATTCCCTTCTCCATACGAAAAACAGGCTTATTGAGGTAGATAATCTTCCACCTCACTTTCTGAAACTTGAAATCTCACCTATTACATCACTTTATCTATATATGGAGAAAAGCTGACCTGTGAAAATACTTTGACCCGTCCACGTATGAGCAGCAAATTCCACTTGGGTCAATGAACTTTTTCGAGGCACATCCAACTGTTGGAAGAAAAATAACATCAGGGACAAGTTTCATTGTTTTCAAACGTTTTTCAAAATTAAAGTTACAGCGAACAGAGCACCCACCCGGAGCGCATGGGTTGTGCTGGGCCTTGACAGCTGTTCCACGGTGGCCGTTCTTTCTCGAAGAGGTGACCGTTCTATACCATCAGGCATGGCACTCAGCACACAGTTTTGCGGACATTTTCCTCTGTACTAAATGAGGGATAGTATGTTCTCTTTTAAAACAAATGCAATCCTTAAAAACACAAGAGAAAATCTCTACATGCTCAATCATTCACTCTTTATTTGGAAACTTTTAGTTAGACATTACTAAGGATCAGGTCTCCTAAGGATAAATACCTGATGAGATATATTTTGATTATGTAACTGCACTATGTAACCTGACAAAATGACAGTGTCACCACAGGGAAAGAGAGATAAAAAACCTGTACCACATTCATCTCTTAACATTAAACCATAATAGAAATATAATTCTGCATTTGTGAAGTATCAGGCTTTTTCATGTGATGTTCGCCATATTTAAAATGAAGTTATTCGAAGGTTAAACGCTAACACGTTGCAACTCTAGCCTTTTGGGAATGGGTTCTAGTGCTGTGCTCAAGGTGGCACAGGAAATACAAGAGAAAACCTTGCCCCAGGCAGGGTTTTTCTCTCTCTATGTCTTTATGTTCCTACAACAGGGGTCCTTCTGTGTTGTATAAAATGAATAGAGACCGGTGACTTGTGTGAGAATGAGTGGGGGGGTGGCTATAAACCTGGGGCAGCTGGCTGTGGCATGGGCAGCAGCATGCTCCCCAGACCTTGTGTGACTGCGTGGCTGGGCGGAGTCTGAGCGCAGACATTATCGCCCTACACTGCAACAGACGTGGCAAAGGTTGGCTGTAAAAATGAGACCTGACAAAAACGACCAGGGTCAGAATTTCCTGAGCTCATGACTTCACGTTAGGAGTTATTTGACACCGATGAGTTCATTTCATCCTTCTAATAATTCTTTGGGGTTAACAATTATTAATCCCTTTTTATAGAGGAGAACACTAAGGCTCGGGTAGATTAAAGTGACTTGTACCAAATCACAGAAGAATTTCCGTGGCAGGTTCACGTGGCCCTCCTGTCTCCTGACCAAATCTCATGCTGTCTCTGCGACACCATCTTATCAGATATTTCCGTGGCACCTGGACTTTCTGATTTAGTTCAAGACATGCTTTCATTTCACAAAATGGTGAATTAACCTGTCACTCCCTGTGAATTCTCACAAGCCATTTACTTTCTGGAAATGGATTATGAAGGCATTTGAATACAGCTGCTCGGATCTTACGTTACTAATTTCACTTGGAAGTGCCAAGGTTGTTTTTGCTTGTTCTCTGATATACTGCCTAAACGGTCCAGTTAACCAGAATGAATTCTGTCTTACAGAAGCAAGGAGGGGTCCAGGAACTGCTGCGTTTCGCTCCCCGGTCTCTGTGCCTATCTGTGGGAACCTGCTCCGTGAGGTCTGGACCAGCGGGGAAGCCACGTGGTCTGCGCCTGTGAACCTGCAACACATCATCATGTCACTGAGCACACAGGGATAGGAAATCTGCCAAGAGCTGCTGAGTTCTATGCTTCTGGGGCACACAGGAGGTCGTCAATGTCTGCTATTTGTGGTATTATCCTGATGCTCCCCAGGAAACTAACAGCACTGTGATAATTAGGAAAAAATGTTACCTCGATAAAAGTGAAAGACAGAGGATGGGGGTGAGAAGACTCAGAGCTGGTGTGTGTGTGTTGGGGGGGGGGGCGGTGGTCAAAGGGAACATGAGGCAGGCCAGAATCCAGGTGGGTGAGAAGCCGGGGGACGCAGGTGAGGCAGTGTGATCAAACAGGACAGGTGTGTCCTTGTGAAGCCACAGCTTCCCTCTTATGTGTAGAGCACAGCTGTGCACACAAACAGCCTGTCTGCGGGACTACAATTCCTGCGTGGGAGAGCAGCTGGGGAGAACTGCCTAAAAGGGCTCCTCAGGGTGGCAATCATAAAAAAAAAGCTGGAACATCACCAGCCTACAGGGAGAGAGGGGTCAGAACACGGAGGGATTTGTACAGTCGGAGGCAGTTGAAGGTATCTCAGTAGGAAGCAGAGATGGGTTTCCATTTGATGATGTGTGACAGCGGAGCCCAGGAAGGCTGCAGCAGGCGGAGAGAGCCTGCCATGTGCTGCTCACTGGCACCAGGCCAGCGAGGCCGGAGGCAAAGGGACCCCAACGAAGGAATCAGCATCGCAGACCTAACACAGCTGCAAACATCAGCCCCAAACTGTGAAAGGAACAGGCACCTATTAAAAAGCTGAAAGGGGGTTTATGATGACTGCCTCTGGAAAGATTCCAGCTGCCAGGTAAGTGCTGGCAGCCGCCCACTCCTGAGCTCAGCTCCTATTAACTCCTCCTTTGCATGCCGGGGTGGGGCCAGTGGGTGGTCTCCGAAGCCAGAGGGCACTTGTGGGTGTGGGTGGGCCCAGCTCAGCCTCTCCGTGGGGAAGGATCTCTGGCAGGCTTCCCCTGTTTCCTCATCTCAGATTTGGGATAGCATGAGTCCCAACCACATAAAGGTTTGCAGTGGGGAGTAAAACCACAAATGTAATTCCTTTACCTGGTGCTGGTAACAAAGAAAGCCATCAGTAAACATTGGCTGTTATTATCCACACAAGTATCGGCCGATACTGGTTAAGTTAGCTGGAGGGCAAGAGATAGGTACCTTTCTAATGACGCCACGGTGGGATATGAATCCCTGAGATCAAAAGCTTTGCTGAAACTCCTACGTAGGGGGAAGTGCATCCTTAAAGAGAATCCGATACAGACATACTCCTTTTATTTTTATAGCATTTTACATACATTATTTTATTTAAACCTCCCCCTAAAAAGTACTAATTTTGTAACTTAAAGGCATTAACTAAGTATTTGTTTTACAGAGGAGGCCACTGAAATCCACCCAAGGTCACCCCACCGTCAGAGGCTCATTCTGCCTGTGTCACAGAGATAGCCTGACCTTATGTCCTAGTATACAGCGAAGTGGACCCCTGGAGCAAGCTGAATGTTAAATACTCCATGAGCGCATTAGAAAAGTGTCTGCATATCACTGGATAGAGGTTCCCTTGTCCGGGATGAGCCACAGACCCTAACTGACAAGCATCTAGGCCCTGCGTGACCTTTAGTTGCACATGAGAGAAAGAAGACTCACAGTTTTGTTCCCCGAAGAACTTCGTCACTACAGACATTGGGGGTTTTTAGTCTCTGTGGATCTGGAACAAGAGAAGGCAGTCTCCATGGCACTGGTGTTTTCTTTGCAGAAGGTAGTAATCGGTGCGTGTCTGAGGCCCGTCCCAGTCTGTGCCGTGAGGAGGAGGGAACACCGGCCCCTCCACCTGACAGCTTGTCCGCCTGTTCATTCCTGGGGGAAGGAAATCCGGTGAGCTACTCAGACGCAAGTGTTGTGAGAACAGGGAACACACCTGTCTGTGCTTGGGTGAGCCCCGTCCAGAACAGTGCCTGACACCTAGAACAGACTCTTAAGAACTGGTTGAATGAATAGGAAGACCCGCCACTTCCTGTTTCAATGAAGAAACACCCACAGGAAGAGACCTAAGGTTTTAATTGTGAATAATCCAACAGTCAAGCCCACAAGATTAAGACTTCATGACTGTGTTCCCCTTTGTCCGACTCTCCCAACCAAATACAGACAGTCACTGTTTGTGGTTGGTACTGGAAGGGCTTGTTTCTGCTCTTCCACACTCCCCCGGGATGTGCTCAGGCATAGCTGAAGCAGGGGACGAAATGGGACCTTCGTGAGCTCACGTCCCCTGCAAGTCTTCAGCGCTGCAGTGTGTCCAGCACAAGGTAGAGGCTGGGTAACTACAACGGATAGCGACACTGATACGTACTGCGTTCTGTCAGGAAAACAGGTCCGTCTGTGCTGAAGTGGTTTTGCTTGAATTGTCATGACACCATTCATGTCACTATAAAAGTTGTTGGAGAAGCGATGAACCTGAGAACAGTAAAAAAAAAGAAAGAAAAAATTACAACTGCCCAGTGCCGTTCCAGACCCATGCTTGTCAGAAATCGGCAGGAAACTGGCTGACTGCAGGAAAAGCTAATGCGGGGGGTGGGGGGTATTTTATACAGACGTGGGCTGAGACATGAATAACGAATTGGTTAATTCCACAAGGCTCCTAACCATGGGGACATTCAGACACCTGGCCTAAAGTGGTGGGAAGTGAGGAAGAGGTTCCTGTACTGGAGAGGGTGGCTGCACGGGGAGGATGCCACCGGCCCAGGGTGACCTGGCAGGGACGCTGCAGGGACGCAGAGCCCGGCTTCAGTCTCTGCTAGAAGTTGAAGGGCAAGGGAGCGCTGATGGTCGATGTGTATCAGCCTCTGGTAACTCCAGGGTGAGAAAGGCAGAGACAGGGCCAGGAGAAGCACAGGCCAGGCATGGAGGCCCCTCCACTCCGCACCTGCCGGGGCTCTCTTCCCTGAAGCAGTGAGATGCCTGGGACCCAAGCGTGAGCTCTGGAGAAGCTTCCGGCTGAATCCTGTTCTCACCGCTTCCTGGTCAGTAATTCTGGAATGCTTACTTTGTTCTTGGAACTTTAAGGTTCTCCTCTTTACACTGGGGAAAAGTCACACCAGCTTCAGAGAGCTCTTGTGAGAACTGAATCAAATGACATTTGTAAAAGCATGAGCTAATGGCTAAGGGATTCTTAACTCCGTCTTCACTCCCACAATATGACCAACGAGGATTTAAAATAGTATTTACCTAGATGACGGGCTGATGGGGGCAGCAAACCACCCTGGCACTTGTATACCTATGTGACGAACCTGCACATTCTGCACATGGATCTGGGAGCTTAAAGTAAAATTCAAAACTTCAAAAATCATAGTCATACTTAGATTTGGGAGAACAGGATTTCTGGGACTGGAATTCTGTTCTGATTCATGAACAGATGTGGCAACCAGAATCACAGGTAGAGGAGTCACTTAAGAACTTCTGCAATTACCCCTGGAACACCTTGAGTATTTCATAGCACGCTCTATTTTTACTCTGTTCACTTTGCTTTCCATTTATTTTTTTAACATTTATCCAAACAAAGGAATTACAAAACCAAAACAGCTATTTTAAAAAGTCCTCCGCTTCTAGATTTTCCACATTTTTCAGGTCTATTTATTTTGCCTGATATTTAAAGGTTCTTTTCTATATTATCATCAACTGTTCTTTTTGTGATATTCATACTACCTATTTTTTTTTTTTTTTTAAGTAGAGAATGTTGTATTGAAATTGTCAGGGCAGTTTAAAGCGATCAAAAAATACAATAAGCAGGTAGCGGTTCCAAGTTTCTTCAGAACAGAAAAGACAGAGACCTCTTGCCAAGCGCCTCCCCTAAGAGTGAAAGAAGCCTCTGTGGCGCTCTGATTTCCCACTGCCCCGAGGCACAGATGCGTCCGGCCTCCGCCCTTTCAGTCCCACAGGGATCTTTGGTTGGGACGCTCCGCACCTCGCATTTCTGCCTTCGATTTGAAGAGGCCCCCTTCCTTTCTCACCCTAACAAATCACACCTACGTCATTTAAGGCTTGGTTCGTATCTTACCCTACTCTGAAAAGTATATTTTTCCTCTGAACCCCATGGCACCTACGTTGGTGTGTTGTGAGTTGTGTGTGCATGTGGTGTGTGTGGTGTGTGTATGGCGTGTGCGTGGTGTGCTTGTGTATGTGGTATGTGTATGTGTGTTGGTGTGTGGTATGTGGTGTGTGCATGTGCAGTGTGTGTGTGCGTGGTGTGTTTGGTGTGTGTGTGCTTGATGTGTTGCTGTGTGTTGGGTGTGTGTGTGGTGTGTGTAGTGTGTGTGCATGTGGTATGTGTTTGTATGGGGTGTGGCGTGTGTGTGTGGTGTATAATGTATGCTGTATGTGTATGGTGTGTGGCGTGTTTGTGTGGGGTGTGTGTGGGGATATGTGTGCATGTGGCATATGTATGTGACGTGTGTGTGTGGTGTGTTTGTGTGGGGTGTATGATGTGTGGTGTGTTTGTGAGGGGTGTGTGTATGGTGTGTGGGGTGTGTGCGTAGAGGGGTGCATGTGGCATGTGTGAGTGATATGTGTAGTGTGTGTGTGCATGGTATGTGTGTGTGGTGTGTGGGTGTGGGGTGTGTGTGTAGTGTGTGCATGTGGTATGTGTTTGTATGGTGTGTGGTGTGTGTGGGTGGTGTATGATGTGTGGTATGTTGGTGTGGGGTGTGGGTGTGGGGTGTGTGGGCTGTGTGTGTAGTGTGTGCATGTGATATGTGTGTGTGTGGTGTATGATATGTGGTGTGTGGTGTATGATGTGTGGTATGTTGGTGTGGGGTGTTGGTATGGGGTGTGTGGGCTGTGTGTGTAGTGTGTGCATGTGGTATGTGTGTGTGTGGTGTATGATGTGTGGGGGGGTGTGTGTGTGGCATGTGTGTGGGGTGTGTGTGCGTCTGTGTGTGTTTATCCCTTTTCTCTGCTCCCTGACACACAAGACGGGCAGTGGAAACAAGCTCCTTGGCCTCCCGTGAACAAGCGTGTCCTTTCCAGCCTCACCCACTACCAGATCTTTCAATAAAAACGCAATTCAAGAAAAATGTATTAAGAGCTTAATATGTGCCGGTCCCTGGGGTGGGAGCTTCCTGGTATTTCTATGATTTTATCCTCACAGCAATCCCTTGGACAAGATAGCATCGTCCTCATTATAAGCTAAGGACACTAAAGTTCAGAAAAGTTCAACATATCCAGAAAAATACTCCTCACAGGCCTCACGATTCCTCATCCCCCGTCCTTGCCACTATGCTGCTGTTCCCAGTTTCTTATACCCTAAGTTCAGTCCAATCACAGTCCCCAAAATGCCCCGTCTTTCCTTCATCCATGCCTTTGTTTGGCCTGAAATGGGTCACCCAGAGCTCCTTCCCACAAGCCTTGCTCATGTCTTCATGGTTCTGCTCAAATTTCACCTCCAACGTAAAAGACCAATCCCCCTCCGCTAATCAGAACAAATCGCTCTCTGATTCTTCTCCAAGGCTCTTGTCTTGTGCACGACCCTCACAGAATGCATTACAGCTGCCCCTGGGTCAGAGCTTTTGTGTCACTAGTTCGGGGACTGCTTGATTCACCTGTGCATCTCCTCAAAACCCCTCAACTGCAAATGATAAATGCTGAGTAAGCCCAGTGTATACTCATTGAGTCTTGTATCACTTTGGTGGAAAGAAGGGAGAACATTTATAATTTTCAAACTGGCTGGAAACATTAGGGGGAAAGCATTTGTTTATCTCCCAAAAGGTAGAAAACAGATTTCACATCTCAGAGCAGTGCCACATGGTAATTCTGTTCAACTTCACGAAATAATCACGTTGCAAACAGACCCCAATACCATTGTTGTAAATAGAAACTGAGGTTTATTTTCCCTCAGCCTATTTCCGTCTTGCTGGTGGCCTGTGGAAGAACAGCTTGAGAGTTGATCCTCCTCATTCACCGGCCTGAGCATTGGGAGGTGCAGAACAGGCCTCCCCGGCAGGCTGAGCGCTCCAGTCTGCAGTGGAGACTCGCTGAACGGGCACGGCAGGCCCCTGCACCTCCAGAGCAGTCTGCAGCCTCAGGCTGAGCAGTAGTGCGAGTAAGGGCTGGGCCTGCACCCCCAGGCTGAGCTGTAGTATACGCAGGGGTTGGGCCTGCACCCCCAGGCTGAGCTGTAGTGTGCACAGGAGCTGGGCCTGCACCCCCAGGCTGAGCTGTAGTGTATGCAGGGGCTGGGCCTGCACCCCCAGGCTGAGGGTTAGTGCATGCAGGAGCTGGGCCTGCACCCCCAGGCTGAGCTGTAGTGTGCACAGGAGCTGGGCCTGCACCCCTAGGCTGAGCTGTAGTGTGCACAGGAGCTGGGCCTGCACCCCCAGGCTGAGCTGTAGTGTATGCAGGGGCTGGGCCTGCACCACCAGGCTGATGGTTAGTGCAGGCAGGGGCTGGGCCTGCACCCCCAGGCTGAGGGTTAGTGCACACAGGGGCTGGGCCTGTACCCCCAGGCTGAGGGTTAGTGCATGCAGGGGCTGGGCCTGCACCCCCAGGCTGAGGGTTAGTGCACGCAGGGGCTGGGCCTGCACCCCCAGGCTGAGGGTTAGTGCATGCAGGGGCTGGGCCTGCACCACCAGGCTGAGCTGTAGTATACGCAGGGGCTGGGCCTGCACCCCCAGGCTGAGCTGTAGTGTGCACAGGAGCTGGGCCTGCACCCACAGGCTGAGCTGTAGTGTATGCAGGGGCTGGGCCTGCACCCCTAGGCTGAGGGTTAGTGCATGCAGGGGCTGGGCCTGCACCCCCAGGCTGAGGGTTAGTGCACACAGGAGCTGGGCCTGCACCCCCAGGCTGAGCTGTAGTGTGCACAGGAGCTGGGCCTGCACCCCCAGGCTGAGCTGTAGTGTGCACAGGAGCTGGGCCTGCACCCCCAGGCTGAGCTGTAGTGTATGCAGGGGCTGGGCCTGCACCCCCAGGCTGAGGGTTAGTGCATGCAGGGGCTGGGCCTGCACCCCCCGGCTGAGGGTTAGTGCACACAGGAGCTGGGCCTGCACCCCCAGGCTGAGCTGTAGTGTGCACAGGAGCTGGGCCTGCACCCCCAGGCTGAGCTGTAGTGTGCACAGGAGCTGGGCCTGCACCCCCAGGCTGAGCTGTAGTGTATGCAGGGGCTGGGCCTGCACCCCCAGGCTGAGGGTTAGTGCACGCAGGGGCTGGGCCTGCACCTCCAGGCTGAGGGTTAGTGCACGCAGGGGCTGGGCCTGTACCTTGTCTGGGCGGCAGTACTCAGCAGGCACTGGGGCAGTCCATACCCCTAAAATCCCCACTTGGCCACAGCTTCATCAGCAGCAGGCTGCTCTTCCCTCTCAATCTCTTCAGGGTCTCTGTAGAAGCAGAGGTCAGGCATGACCTCCCGTGGGTGTTCCTGCGGAATGGTGCCACGCACGCTCAGAACTTTCTGAACCAGCAGCCACCCCTTCAGGCCCACTGAGCGAGCTCCCTTGTTGCAGGGGATGGCAGCTTCCACACAGCACCGAGGAGCATCTGTGCTCCACAGAGCAATGGGAGGTAGGCTAGCCCAGGACGCCTCTGTGGCAGGCTGGCGGTTGTTCTGGGATCAGTAACACCAGCAGACACGGCTCCCGAAAGGCTTCCTGGATCTGGCGAGCGAAGGTTCCAGGAGTGAAGCGGCCAGCAGTTGGAGTGGCTCTGGTGGCATCAGTAAACCTCAGCATAGCCCTCCGGCCAGTATTCCTGGAGCACATGACAGGGACATCAGCAGGACTTTCAACAGCAACAATGCCACCAGCAGCTTCTCTCAGGTCCTTTCAGATTGATGATGGAGATGCCATTGCTGTTCCTTTTGTAGATGTACAAGGGGGTGCCGCCTGCGTGGGCTCCTACTGCCAGGAACCTGAGGACATCCTCCTCCTTCGTGGGCAGGACGTCGAGAACTCCTGGCACTGTGATATTGCGAAGGTTTCTTTTTAAGTTACCATGGAGAGCCTACGTGGCCCCCGCTGCAGGCAGAGTGGAAGGCAGCCCCAAATATCTCAATACCACAGTTTAACAGAACAACGCTCTTGACACACGGAGGTTAGAGACACACAGATTGAAGGTGAGAGAGAGAGAGAAGGTGTGAAAACACCGACCTGGGGCGGGTTCAGATGAGAAGCCAGGGAGACGCAGCGAGCCTCAGAGCTTCCAGACCCGGGGCCACTGGCTCCATCAGCCTGAGCGCGTGGAATGAGGGCATGCGGAAATCTGTTTCCAACGACTTTCAATTTTTCTCTCTGCTTTTCCCCTGCTGTGTCAACAGAAGAATCAATATTCCCAGAGACATCAGATTATCTAATACAAATACTGAGAATTCACTCTTAATTGAGAATATCTGTTATTGAGCTACCACGAGTCCATGCTATACCCACTACACTCATTGCTACGGAGGGCAGAGACCCCCATGGAGCAACCGGCTGCTGTGACTGGAGTCACAGTGGGACGTGGAGAAACAGATTATACAGTGCGCAATAAGAGTCTCAGCACGTGATAAAGCCCAACCAGTCCCTTAAATACCAGAAAAAGAACAGGATTTAGGTTAACAGGATTATGGCCTTATTGTACAAACTGATGAATAAAACTAGTCATTAACATCCATCACTGACATTTTTATGATTTGTTTCTGTTCAATGTTAAGTTTAGAGAATATTTTATATTTTGAAACAAGACAACTAAAGGATTATTCAATTAGCTATATTTACATTTTATATGACAGATGAGATCATGAATAAATACAAATATCTCATTATTAACGATTACTTTTTTTTTACTGTAACAAAAACGTGACTTCCAGCCTTGTTCTTGTGTATTTCTTTGTGTTTTCCAGACTGCAATCATATGCATTGCTATTTTGTGGGGGAAAATGGTTTCACTTTGTTGCCCAGGATGGGGTGCAGTGGCATGATCATAGCTGACTTCTAACATCGAATTCCTGAGCTCAAGGGATCCTCCCATCTCAGCCCCCTGAGTAGCTATGCCTACAGGCATGTACCACCATGCCTGGCTAACTTTTCATTTTTATTTTCTGAAGAGATGGGGTCTTGCTATGTCGCCCTAGCTGGCCTTGAACCCCTGGGTTCAAACAATTCTCCTGCCTTGGTCTCCCAAAGTTCTGGAATTACAGGTGTTAGTCACCATGCCTCCTGCATTCTGGGTTTTTTTGTTTGTTTGTTTTGTTTTGTTTTTTTTTTTTTTGCTTTTTTTTTTTTTTTTTTGAGATAAGAGTTTTGCTCTTGTTGCCCAGGCTGGAGTGCAATGGCACAATCTTGGCTCACTGCAACCTCCGCCTCCTGGGTTCAAGCAATTCTCCTGCCTCAGCCTCCCAAGAAGCCAGGATTACAGGTATGCACCACCACACCTGGCTAATTTTTGTATTTTTAGTAGAGACAGAGTTTCACCACGTTGGCCAGGCTGGTCTCGAACTCCTGATCTCAGATGATCTACATGCCAGGGTCTCCCAAAGGGCTGACATTACAAGCGTGAGCCACCATGCCCAGCCAGCACTGCATTATTTTTTATAATGCAAAACACAATAGCGTCCTTTTTGAAGGGACTGAAGATCCCTCGTGAATAAAGTCAGAACACCCACTTGTCTTCTCACTGACCATGTTCTAGGTATGGCCAAGCTGAGGAGCAGGGGCGCAGGGCTGAGGGGCAGGGATTTTGTTTCTCTTTTTATGAAGCCGACTCCTGCACATAAGTACCTGTGAGTGTAGTTTCCCAGTGTTTTCTAATCAGCTCTTGCAAAACTTCTACCACATTTGTCCAGACGTGATCAAACACTTCTGCTGTCACGGCATCTTTGACACAGTCATGAGGGGAGACAGGAGGAAGTCCGAGTTTGCGCCATTTCCTACCGAGCTGAGCTGCTGGTTTTTGTTCAAGACGGTTGTCCTCACTAAGGATAAAGACCCACTCCAATTACTAAAATATCAATGCTTAGAGTTAAAATAATTCTATCTACACACATCCACGTATGTACATTTATACATATATTAATACACATATTCTTGGTTAAACAGCATTGTTCTTTTGTAGCATATATAATTTTTGTCAATTACACACGCATAAAACCGGGTGGGGGAAATAAACCAAACAAAATATCAACGCTTGGTTTCACTGATCTTTCTTTTTTTCTAGTCTCTTTTCGTTTACTTCGGCTCGGATCTTTGTTATTTTCTCCCTTCTGCTAAGTTTGGGCTTGGTTTGCTCTTTTTCTCATTCCTTCAGGTATAAAGTTAGGTTGTTGGTTTGAGCTCTTTCTCTTTTCTTAATGTAGGCATTTACCGCCATAAGCTTCCCTTAGAGTCTACTGTATCCCGTAAGTTTGGTTCTAACATGCCGTGTTTCCATTTTAATTGTCTCAATGCGTTTTCTGATTTCTCTTTTGATTTCTTCTTTGCCCTCCTGACTGGTTGTTTAGTTTCCACATATTTATTTGTGACTTTTCCAGTTTTCTTCCTGTTACTGACTTTCAGCTTCATACCACAGAGGTCAAAAAAAGATGCTTGATTTCAGTCTTCTTACATTTGGTAAGACTTGTTTTATCGGTGTTACTTAAAATGTTTCAATTTTCAATCATGAGGCAAATTTGTATCAGGTAATATTTGTAGTTTTTGATTAGGAACAAAATACACATTTAGAGCAGAGGCGGGAACGCTTGGGCCGTTTCAGGCAACCAGTGATAGGGAAAACGGAGCCCCTGGGACCAGGCCTTCGAGGAACATTGTCTGCTTGCACAAGCCTGCTGAACACGCTCTTCACCATTCCTGCACGTGCACCCCCTGCTACGGATCAAAGCTCTGGGGAGTCATTACTCTCCAAAGAATGGAAATCTTTTGGGTGAGAAAAAAATAAAACACTAAAGGAGCATACAATAACAATAAATGTCAAATAAATTCATCTTATTTTCGGAGGTCAATGTCGAGTAAGACCCAATTTACCTCTCTTTTCTGTCAAAAGCAAAATACTCTTCGATCTTCCCATCCACAAGGTAAACCTCCTCTTCCAGCCATGAATGTGCTGCTAGGTCAGCAATCCCTGTACCGTGAGGGCCTGGCAGAGCAGAGGCTGAGAGTGCCACTGGGACTAACTGAGAGCCAGAGACGCACAACCTATGGAAAAAAAAAAAAAAAAAAAAAAACAGATTCCCCATGGAGTTTATATAATACCAAGAATGCAATGCTTAAATGATTACGGCGAAACTTTAAATTATGTGTAAGGTACAGAATCCCCCCAAAAACTATTGATTATTACATTGGAAAAAACTCAAATCCTTAAAAACACTTGAATACAGGCATCACTAAAAATTTTAAGGGCTTCTCACTACACACTGGGGTCTGTTGGGGGGAAATGGGGGAGGGGCGGGGGGGTGGGGAGGTGGGAAGAGATAGCATGGGGAGAAATGACAGATACAGGTGAGGGGACGGAAGGCAGCAAAGCACACTGCCATGTGTGTACCTATGCAACAATCTTGCATGTTCATCACATGTACCCCAAAACCTAAAATGCAATAAAAAAAAAGAAAAAAAAAATCAGTAATTAAAAAAAAAAAAAAAATTTAAGGGCTTCTAAAAGCCGAAAGTATTCTCTAAGTTTGTGCCCTCTTTGGTTGCAGTGAAGGGATCACTTTGTGTCACAGCATACCAACTATGTGTGAATGGATAGAGAGCCATCAAATCTGCCAGTGAGCAGATGGCAGGACAGAGCTTCATTTCTCCTGCTGCCACTGCCTGCAGCTTACAACCCATCACAGCGGGGTGGCTTCCGGCCTGCGCCCAGTCCGCCTGTCACAGCACCTTTGGACACACGTTGAAGGTGACTACCGTGTGTGTGCACGTGTACTCAGACATATTTTACATATCTATGTGTATAAGCACACACATACACCTGCTGTCAATTCAGAATCAAAAGCATCTTGTAAAAACTCTTCTCTGTACCTGCGCTTCATTAGAATCTACATTTCCAAACCGCGTGGTACCGAGGCTTGTGGATGAGATAAACGTGTAAAAGTATAACTAAAATACAGCTAACAATACTTTTTGAGAGTAGCTTATCGGAACATACTCTCTGATGTTGCTGCTGTGTCTGCAGGCACCGAGTGGGGGTCTGTGGACCGCGGAGCCAGGAGCGCTGCCCTGGAAATGCTGGACGCCCTCATCAGTGGGCAGGATCAGTTGTCTTCCTAATACTCTGCAAGGTAAAAGAGAAGCGACTCACATTTGGATCAGACAAAGGGAAAACGTTTTGGGATTTTAAAAGGAGGAGACAATGATTTTGCAGGCACGAGGATGATATGATAAGGTGTGTATGGGTATGTGGGAAGCATCACGCATCACACAAGAGTGTGGCTTTGAGAGTTTAGGCTAGATTGTTCTTTCACTGACTCAGTCTCAGGCAAGGTTCTCAGGCTGATTTGATTTTCTGTCCTTCGTTTACAAAACAGGATGGTAACGGTTACCTTGCAGGGCTCATCGTGTATGACAGACTCAGGTGTCTAAGGCCACACCTGGGCACAGAGAAGCTCTCCATATACATTAACTAGTATGCAGTTCAACACAAACACAACAATAAAAACACGTAAATACGCACACTGGGCTGATGTACCTGCAGTCTTTCCTTTTCCGCCTTCCTTCCATTTCTATCAGTGATGTAAGATGGCAGTGACAAGAATAAGTGTGCGCTCCTGAGTTTCGGGTGAGTGACCATACCCAGGAAACTGAGTGTCCACAATTGGTATCTAGTGGGCACATCATACTCTTTAAGGCAGGTGGCTTATTAGGGATAGAAAAGGCAAAAAACCCTAGGTGGTCAAGATTTCTGTAAAAGTTACCTAGTCGATGTAAGCAGGAAATCCGGCCACATTTACATGAGTGTTCTAATTCATCCTCCCCAGATAGAATCTAGAGGAACTCAGGTAACTTTGATAAACTGTCCCCCAGGAAGCTGGCTGAGTGACTGAAAGAAAAGCTTGCCTTCCTTCCCAATCCATATTCTCCATCTTTGATAAAAATCAATAATATGTGATCCTCCCTACATAATGGGGTGAGATGGGAAGACGCATCTGACCAGCTGTCCAGCGATAATCACTGCCCGCCCTCGCTGTGTTCTGGGAAGCAAACAGACACTGCTGCTCACACACAGAGTGAATGTGAAGGTCACAGGTGGCCTCCACCGTTCCTGCAATCACTACATGTGCAATGACCTCCTCAGGACAAACTGAATTTGCTTCTTGCAAATTAAAAGGCGCATGAGCATTGGAATGTCTCAGTATTTCCTCAGACACCATAACCAGGGAAGTGACCTCTCAGTGAAGGACTGCGCTCTGCGTCCATACTCTGGCTGGGCAGGTGCATTCAGTCTAAATGTACTGACTGTATCAAGGCAGGTTAGGGGTAGGCGCTTCGCAAACCCGCCCCAGAGAACTTCCACCAACCAGGCCCCACCTCAGATGGAGGGATCTTCTTGTCCACTCCCCGCATTCGGCCAGCAGACTCTGGGTCTGAGGGTTCACTTTCCCTTCAAATAGCATTTCCTCCACCTCCCAGAGTAACCGCTGCACGGTCTGTGCGCTGGCTTCATCAAATTCCTGAAGCAGAAATGCACGTTAGTTATAACACTAAAAGTGACAGAAGCTCGGCCTTCTCGGTCAATGCTACTTCTGTGTTTAATGTGGCCCACGATGTAGGCAGGTGCACCACGTGGTAAAAAGGTGGCTTTGCAGTCAGACACAGCCCTGCTCCAGCTGTCACCTTTCTGAGAAATCCCATCTCATTCTGAGCCTAGATTCTTTTACTGTTAAATAGAGAAAACTTCTACCACAGGAGTTATGAGACTCGAGATTTCACATGGATGCAGGTATAGGTATTCCCGCTGCCATAGACATCGGTGTGGATACGCAGACACACCCACATCTGTGTCTGCACACACACATGCAGCCGCATGTCCCTCACAGAGCTGGACCTGACACACCTAAGCACACCTGCAAAATACAAGATGTATTTTTCTTCTGATGATACCACAGAAAAGGAAATTACTTTCGTAGAAAGGGCTATTAACCTCCTTAAATCGATGAACTGGAAAAACTTTTTAAAAAAGCCTTATCTTAAGAAGTCTGGTTAGTAGGGTGAGGCCTGAGTATTGATTTTTCCTCAGGCTTTCGGAGATTCTTGCACTTGGCTGCAGGGAATTGGAGAAGAGAGAACCTCTCAGCCTTCCTAGATGGTCTCATCTGGGAGGCAACTCTCCTAGAGCTCAAAGCCAAGGTGAGATCCCCACCATGTGGGTTTCTAGAAGCACAGGAATCTCTACAATTCACAGGGAAACTGTGGACTCAGTCAGACACACCTGTCCGCAGATGGTCAGTCCAGGTTGATTTTTATAGAATGCTATTTGTTATTTTCTGCATTAATTCCTCTCTCAAACTGAAAATGAACCAGATTCCCAGATTACAGGGAAGTTGAATTATTTCTTTCAAAATACAAATAAAAGGAAAATTAATAATAATATTTATCTCCCAGGAGGAGCCTGGGTGGCTGGGGCATGGGAGAGGCTCACTTTCATTTCTCTAAGCTTTTGCATTCTATTCCTTTTGCAAATATTTCCCATCAATAAGTAAATATATTTTTTAAAATTAAAATGAAAAGCAATTACAGGGTCTGGGTCTGAAGTATTTTTAATTCTATAAATGGAATTTATATGAATTTCCCTGGTAATTCCATTAAATGTTGAACTAAAAAATCCTAGAATTTAGGCAGAATGAAGCAGTGGTGTGAGCCTTCTACCAAGAAAGGCAGGTTTGAGGGGTGGCGGTGAGTGGGCATCAGGGTGAGGAAGGGGGCAGCTACCCCTAAGTGAGCGAGGCGCGTGCATGGAAGGTCCTCCAAGCGGTGCTGAGCTGGGTCCCTTCCAGACCCCTTTGGTGCCCCTCCATTGCCTGCTCCCCTGAGAATCACAGCTGTACAGCTACAGGCAAAAGCGGATTCACATGTGCTATGGGAGTGGAGAATCACTTTTAAAGAAAGCAAACAGGCCAGGCACAGTGGTTCACGCTTATAATCCCACCACTTTAAGAGGCCAAGGCAGGAGGATCACCTGAGGTCAGGAGTTCGAAACAAGCCTGGCCAACATGGTGAGACCCCCATCTCTGCTAAAAATACAAAAATTAGCTGGGCATAGTGACGCACACCTGTAAAACCAGCTACTCGGGAGCCTGAGGCAGGAGAATCGCTTGAACCAGGAAGGCGGAGATTTCAGTGAACCTCCATCCTGGAGATTGTGTCACTGTACTCCATCCTGGGCAACAGAGCAAGATTCTGTCAAAAAAAAAGGAGAAGGAGAAGGAGAAGGAGAAGGAGAAGGAGAAGGAGAAGGAGAAGGAGAAGGAGAAGGAGAAGGAGAAAGAAGGAGAAGGAGAAGGAGAAGGAGAAGGAGAAGGAGAAGAGAAGGAGAAGGAGAAGGAGAAAGAGAAGGAGAAGGAGAAGGAGAAGGAGAAGGAGAAGGAGAAGGAGAAGGAGAAGGAGAAGGAGAAGAAGAAGAAAAGGAAGGAAAGAAAAACAGCACAAACGAGGTAAAACAGAACACCGAAGGTGCTGTACCAGGTGGGCATTACAAAAGGCTGTGTCCTGGGATTCTCAGAGCCCCTTGGAGGGAGGAGCCAGTGGAGCCAGTGAGCTCCTGAGCCAGCGGCACTGGAGCCGTGGGAGCAGAGCTCACCCAGCCAGAGTCCCAGGCTCACACAGACAGAAGCAGGCCAGAGGCAACAGCTCCCCCTGGGGTAGGAGGTGAAGGTGAAATATCTGACTGGGAATATTGGCGATGTGGGGTGGAGGGTGGGGGGCTCTAATCTTAACGACTATCACAACTTTTACTTTTCCAGCAGTTTTTGCTTATTCAAGTATTTAGTTGTCAGGGTTTGTCCTGAATTTCTGGCCAAGGATACCATCTAAGAAGTCCCGGGGAACACACGGGAGAGCTGGCTGCAGGTTGGAAACAAGAAGACTGCCGGCAGCTAAGACGGGGCCAGGAGATCACGGGTTTACTTTTCTCCATAGTTGGCGGTGTTATTTTCACATGTAACATGCACATGCTTGTATATATATGTACATGTATGTGTGCAGTAGGTCATGTGTTTATAATTGGTTAAAAAAAATCGAACATAAGGAAGCAATTCTCCACTATAAATTGTAATTACAAGATGATCCACAATATTCCAAGACCTACGTCATCTCTCCAGGAATAAAGGGAGCCCTTCTCCGTGGATGAGCTGGTGGTGGAGCTCTGCGTGGCTGACCCAGACCAAGAGGTGTGGCCTCCCGTGGGTGTGCAGCTTCCGCTGGAGGAAAACGATGGTGGGGACTCACTGCGGGAATGAACACAGGCAAAGAAATCACAGTTGCTGGAAGGGCTCGGACTGCTACAGTGGCCTCACTTCTCTGAGGCTGCTTGCTCTTTCATTAAATATATTTGTTAATTTCACAGTATACTAATTTCGAAATATTTTTACAGTGTGATGTTTATACTAGGCTAACAATAAAACTGCATTTCACTTTTAGAAATGTATCTAATCACTGATTTTGCTTCCCACATTCGTTACGGGCATCTTCTGGTTTTGCAATCTGAAGCAAAGAACAAGATGAATTCTTACCAGGTATATCTATCAATGGCTTTCTGCACATTTCTTGTAAAATGTATAGGTAAAGGATCTTTGCTTCTCACAGAAAAACTGGGTTTTCTACATCCTTCTGACAGTCCTCTTCTGGAAATAAAATAACACATGAAAAGTCTCCCTAATGTAATAATATAGTTTTATTCATTAAGACTTTTACAATTTCCTTTTTGTATACAGTTCCTCCTCTTCTTCTGCCACATTCCTCCAAAGCCACCTGTGCATAAGTTTGTGCACACACACACACACACACACACACACACACACACACCACATCCTCAAGAAACTGAGGCTTAGGACCTTGTCATTTTTCTTTTTCTTTTCTTCCTTTCTTTTCTTTTTTTTTCTGAGACGGAGTCTCACCCTGTTGCCCAGGCTGGAGTGCAGTGACATAATCTCAGGCCACTGCAACCTCCACCTCCTGGGTTCAAACAATTCTCCTGCTTCAGCCTCCTGAGTAACTGGGATTACAGGCGCCCACTACCATGACCAGCTAATTTTTTTCTTGTATATTTAGTAGAGATGGGGTTTTACCATGTTGGCCAGGCTGGTCCTGAACTCCTGACCTCGTGATCCACCCACCTTGGCTTCCCAAAGTGCTAGGATTACAGGCTTTAGCCATTTGTCCCAGTCCATTTTCTATTTTTCTTAAAATCAAGATTTCCATTAACCTACGTGCACCTTTATGTGAACTAAAAACAACATCAACTTTTTGTGACTTAGCCAGAGAAGTGAAAGTTGCCCCCAAACAGTTCACAGTATTTCAGGAATTTCAGGTCCCAGTTGTCCCTTGACCAGGCCCCTTATACTTGCAAAACCCAACAAGCCCTCCAGCAAAAAAATCATTAATCCCATGTTAACTAAGAAACATCAAATTATCTCAACTCACCTAGAAGCCTCACAGACATCTAACTTGCTTTAATTTAGCATTGCTGTTTATTATTTCTAAACAAAAGGTATTTCTTCTGTTTTAGTTCCCCATTTAATATCTAGATGTTAAATAAACTATTAAGCCTAACTGGTATAGCACTGTTCCTGTTAATCATTGAAATGTCCTTTCAACGAACCGCTTAAAACATTTACTTCCTTTAGTCAAAATATCTTCCTAATGTTTAACAATCAACAACTTCTGTTCTTTAATAGAAATCTTATTTTCCCTTACAAATAAAACATATATTAACATAAGATATGGTAATGAATCAGGAAAAACTTCAACTTTTAATATTTCTAATAAGGACACCACTCAAGAATGCATTTTTTTAAAGTTTGCTTTTGCTTTCAATTATAATTCTACCTAACTGATCTCCACTCACTGCAACCTCTACCTCCTGGGTTCATGCAATCCTCCTGCCTCAGCCTCCTGAGTAGCTGGAATTACAGGCACCTGCCACCACACCCAGCTAATTTTTGTATTTTTAGTAGAGACAGGGTTTCACCATGTTGGTCAGGCTGGTCTCGAGCTCCTAACCTCAAGTGATCCATCTGCCTCGGCCTCCCAAAGTACTGGGATTACAGGTATGAGCGACCACACCCGGCCAATAAAGGGAATTTTTTAAAACAAATTTATTACCATTACAGATTAGCAATAACCTCTGCCTTCCATAGATGTACCTTGTGCAAGAGAGAATAATAGAATTATATGATGTTTTTTCTTCCCCTTATTGCTTATATATCTTAAGTACAACCAGGTAACTTTGAGAGTAAAGGTGTGAAAGGCCACCAGAGAAAAGAATATAGAACAAGCTTGATGCTGACACACCGTTTTACCTTTAGCCCTCTTCAGTTGCTTTCAAGCTATTAATTATTTCTTGCTTACATGTGACTCGATAACCTTATAGGGAAACATACAAATACTAATAACATAAAATAACAATCAACTAAAAATTCCATCAAATAGATTTGTTTGGAACACTAAGAAAAACATACTGGTATATGAGTTAACATATGATTTGAGAAAGAATTTTAAAATTCCGCATGATGAACTAACTAAAACATTGTTCTTTTATGATACACATCTATAGAATAATCATAGAGGATTCAAATTTGCTCTGCCACTGAGGCTTCAAGCAAGTCACTTTTCCTCTCCTGAACGCAGTGTTCACATCTGTAGACAAAGTATACGAAGTATTTAATCAGTGCTAGATAAAGCAGGTTTACCTGCTCATTGCTATTATTGTTGTTAGATTATTATTATTATTTCACACAGGGTCTTGCTGTGCTGCCCAGGCTAGAGGGCAGTGGCAGGATCTCAACCTCCAAGCCTCAAGTTAGCCTCCCACCTTCAGCCGCCCCAGTAGCTGGAACCACAGGTGTCTACCACCACGCTTGGCTTTGTAATGTCTTGTAGAGATGGGGTCTCGCTATATTGCCCAGTCTGATCTTGAACTCCTGTGCTCAAGTGACCCTCCTGCCTCAGCCTCCAAAGCTGCTGGGACTACAGGCACGAGCCACCACACCTGGCCTCTCACTGCTGTCATCATCATCACATGCTACTCTATGAAGATGCTGTGTTCTTTGGACTTCCCATAATATTTTGTGTTATATAGCTCTTTTCACATTTTCACTTTCTGTTGTGACCTTGACACCTTATTCATCTTTTAATCTAAGCACCTGAAATCACGCTCATCACACAAAAGAGGCCCTCTGTTGAAAGAATCAACGTGCAAAGATGAAATTAGCAACTCAAATGCAGAATTCATTTTCACTATAGAATTACTCTGAAGATTTATGCCTGAAACATAGGATTATATTATGATTGGATATGAAAATATTCCCCAGATTCAAGACATTACTGGATAATTTTTTACTAGTTAAAAACTCACAGCTCTTCTTTTGGGAGCTGATGTTCCCCCTCACCAATGGTTTTCACCTCCAAATGGAGCGTCTGCTCTGCTCAAGACCACCTTTCCTGCTTCTAGCTCCTCCTCCGCCTTTTGTTCAAAGTCAGAGCTAAATTCAATGGGGCGCATGCCAGTTTGTTTTGTTTTCAATGAATAATTTCTTCCTCTAGGAAATTCACTCTTTTTCAGGGGAAAGGGTGGAATGTCTTTTCAAATTAAGAAGAAAATTATTTACAAAACAGAGGAACTCATGTCACTTCCCAACACACCATATCCTTTCCAGGACCAGGCTTCACACTGTCTTGGATGTGGAGCTGAGGCCAGGACGTCTTGGGATGCAGGGGTGGGGGGAATGGGAAGATAGGTAACAGCCACACCGATTATTATGAATTGGATGCTTTAAAACCTCCCTACTTCCGGCCGGGCGCAGTGGCTCACCCCTGTAATCCCAGCACTTTGGAAGGCTGAGGCAGGCAGATCACCTGAGGTCGGGAGTTCAAGATGAGCCTGACCAACATGGAGAAACTCCATCTCCACTAAAAATACAAAAATTAGCCAGGCATGGTGGTGCATGCCTGTAACCCAGCTTCTTGGGAGACTGAGGCAGAAAAATCGCTTAAACCCGGGAGGCAGAGGTTGCGGTGAGCCGAGATTGCGCCTTTGCACTCCAGCCTGGGCAACAAGAGTGAGACTACGTCTAAAAAAAAAAAAAAAAAAAAAGCCTCCCCTGCTTCCACACCATTTCTCCATTATTTTTCTTCTCTGCCCTTCCCCTCTGTGTCTCCTTTTGAGCAATTTCTTGAGCTTCAGAGTTCAGTGTAATAACATACAAACTTGACCACACAATTCACACAAAAAAACTAGGTGAACAGGAATTCAAGCCCATATCATTGTGACTACCCACGAGTACAAGGAAGATAAGGATGCAGTTTCTTCCGGGACGCAGCCCACTGAGCTGCGTGTCTCTCCAGGACCACAAGTGACTAACGTCATGAATTAAGAGCAAAGCCTAGAAAAATCCCTTTCTTTTTCTTTCACATTTTCTTTTCGTTCTTTGGTTTCTCTGTTTTCTAACCAAGAACTGTACAGATCCTCCAGGCATAATGTTGAACCTCTTTAATCCCCATGTAAATTATGGACTAGTATACATCCTACACAGTCTAAAAAAGTCTACACAACTTACCAGATGCATCCTTCAAGTGTCTGAAACCTTGAATGAGGTGGCCTGTCTACGAAGCTTCTATTACTCAATACATAGACATGCAGGTTCTACACTAGTTCCCGTCCATGCTCTTTAAATGTAGCAAGGCTGCTGATGTGGGGACAGGACCCAGGGCTTCGTGGGGTGGATTGAAGTGCAGACACTAAACTGTGTTGCACTCATTTGTTGGGGCGTGCAGGTTAAGGGGGAGTTCCAATCTCCATGACTCCATTCCAGCTGTCAGGGAAAGTGTTACTTTTTTAGGCTGCTTCTTGAGGGTCCACAAAGCTCTGCTCTACTGCTCTGTAGAAATTCTAATGTCAAACACTGACAGCAGCTTTCAGAATTTTCTATTCCTAGTTCACGTAAGCACTGTACTCTAAAGTGCAGGCTGGTTTTCTGGACCGGGTGGCACACCGGGCACTCCAGTGTGGCCATGGGAAGCCGCTGCTCAGCACGCAACATTCACACCCCCACGACCGAGACCAGCAAGTCCCAGGCGCGGCCGCGGCGACAGAGGAGTCCCTTTGGCGTGAGCCGTGCCCGGGCAGGCCGGACGATTCCCGGGTGCCCGCGGGGAAGTCCGGGCCAGACGCAGCCAGCCCCGGGCAAAGGACACCGCGCACGTCGCCCGCGGAGCGGCCGGAAGACGAGCCCGGCTGCGGATGAGACTCACCCGATCACGATCAGCCCCAGGCCTGTGCTCGCGGAACCCGCGCCGGGCCCCGCGCTAGGCTCGGGCACTGTCAGGGAGGGACACCGCGCGCCGGCCCCACGCGGACAGCCGGTCACGCGCGCCCGCGGCCCCCGCAACTCCCGGGCCGGAGCTCCCCGCCCGCCCGAGCCTGCGCCCACCGCGCCGCCGGCCCAGCTCAGGCGGCCCGGGCGCGCCCGGGGTCCGCGAGGCTTGCGCGCCCCTTCCCTCTCCAGATCCTCCCCACGCCCGCACCCGGCGCCGCCTCCTCCGCCCTGCGCTGCACGGCACCCTCGCCGGCCCGGCCCCCACCCGCTAATCCAGGCCGCGCCCGCCCACCCCAGCTCCCTGCCGG